TTGATTTGTTTGTTCTGCTAAATTGAATCTTGCAAAAATTTTTATTTTAAGTTGTTTGTAGGTATGTGTTTTTCTGTGGAGTTGAAGAAGAAAATGGGGAAGTAAGTTGATTTGAGTTTTTGAGTAGACAATTCAAGCTTTAATCTTTCTTTTCTTTCATGTAAACGAAATAATAGTTGTTCTGCTACTTGCTACGGGAGCCATGGGTGTTATGTAAACGACCTGAAGCTCTCGTGTTGTTTGACTGCATTTCACGTAAATAATAGAACATGTAGTAGACGCTCGTCCACTCCGTAAGCTCTGGATTTATCACACTAGTGGCTCCATACCTGACTGTACTGTACATTGTATATGAATATTTAAAGATAAAGTTTGAAGTGCATATTGATATTTTTTAATATGAAAAATAAGTGGATGTGGACATGTACAGTAGGATATTTGAAAAGGCGAATTAACAGAATTTTGTCGCTCCAACAATTTGTAAAAGTTACTCATGAACTATTAGGAAAACGTTTTCTCTGGTCAAATTTAGATTCCGTTTTCTGTTATCTCTCTCAGGCACCGCATGGATAACTTCACTAGAGTTGTTCGTCGCCAAGACTGCATCACGGTGGCAACTTTTCCATTTACCCCTGCCTTTGTATATTAATGTATCTAGCTATTCTCGCTTTTAAGTTAACTTCCATTTGTTTATACTACATTAATAATAAAAATAACCCAAAAGAACTACAATTATGGTCAAATGAAGTGAAATTAAACTGTTCGGTGAGGTAGCTTGGAATCCATCATTAATCGAGGTCAGCTCCTAGCAACGGTTGGTCGATGGAGTGAAGACTGATACAATGGCCGGACGAGGAGTGTGTCAAGAGGGGGAGTTGTTAGAACTTAGAACGGAAGGAAGAGAAGCTTAATGAAGTGTTGGTGGGAGCACGGTGGCTATTATTATTATTATTTTTTTTTTTTTAATTGGTATACAGCAGGATTGTGTTGTGTTTTTATGATTATTTAAAATAATGTCATTATAATTATTAATCCTAAGTAAGAGTATTTTAGTAGGAACATTCCATTAGACTCACGTTGGCAAAACTCAGTGATTCGTTCTTGCTAATATCAGTTACAGTTCAGTGATTGATGTTGACATTTCGCGGAATTGATGGAAGCGGGGAAACCAGAGCTTATTGGCTGCTTCGTGAGTGTGTTTAAGGTACTGGGATTAGTGTAGAGGTAGTTGGTTCTATATTTAATCGTCTTACGTTGGATAATATATTCCTTTTACAGGTTGTTGATAGTGAATAGTCAGGTGGAATCATTTGTATCGAGGTTCCATGACAGGTGGCCGTGATGGGGTGTACACAAGGCTGTATCCATCATAGTGAGACGTCCTTTGTTTGATGGCACTAGTGACCTGTCTGTATTCTAGAATGGCGCATAGTCCCCGCTGACCCGAACCCTCCGCCCCCCGTGACCTGGCCTGGGAGGGAGGGGTCCCACGTGTCTGCGGAGTGACTGCCTCCTCCTCCTCTTGCTCCACCCCCACCTCCGGCAGGACATTGGTGCAGGTCCAACCGGACGACCTCCACTAACTGTCCTGATGCCACCCAAGCCCCACACCACACTACACCACACCACACTACATCACACCACACCACACCACACCACTCCGCTTTGTTCCTCCCTGATAGTCGTTCTTAATGTACATATTTCTCGCAGGCTTACACAGTCCTGAGGGATAATGATGTTGATCTGGTCATCTTGGGAGAGTTAGAGATATAGGCTACAGAGTATGAAATGTTGATACTCCTGAAGATTTTTTTATGTGAGTTGGTTTGTGAGTTGGATTCCTCAGTGGTTGGGTGGTAACTCATCCTTCTCAGGCTCTTCCACACGGCGGTAAATCATTAAACAGCGGTTGTGGTGCTAGTCTGAATAATTTCCCCTCTCCTCCTCCTCCTGGTCTTCTTCGGCATGATGGTGGCACACAAAGCCGATGACGCGTGTGATAGGCAGAGCGACAGGTGGGGATGATCGTCTTGGAGGATTTTCTCCCCACACCTGCCCTGCCCGGCCGCGCCCTCCACACAACCAGGAAGACAGAAATTGGTTGACTGGGGGGACATTAGTGTGGTATTGGCGGGGTGCTGTGTGCAGAGGTGGGCCAGGCGATTATTGTGTGGAGGTGGCCTGTCTCTCAGCTGACAGCTTTAACCCGGCATGCAGGCAAACTGGGTCAGTGTTATCTGTGTGGACGCCGCAGCCCGACCCTTCCTCCCTCCCTCCCTCCCGCCATGGCACCGCGCCTTCCCTTCCTCCCTTGTTCCCTTCCTCCAACACATTACACCCCTTCCACTCACAGTCCATCCACAACACCGTTCCTTCCCTTTCCTCCATTCCATCCACTCCTCCCTCATTCCCCCGCCCCCCTTCACCTGCTAGTTCCTGTTGGTCACCGTGTGAGGAACTAAAACAAATCCCGTGTTTACATTTGTTGCTGCTTCATGGAATGTTGTGAAAATGGGGCCAAGCTAATAGGCTCTGGATTTGGTTACTTTATTATTATTATTATTGTTATTATTATTATTTTTTTGTTGTTGTTGATAATGTTGATGTTGTTTTGTTGTTATTATTATTGTTGATGTTTTGTTTTTGTTATAGTTATTATTATTATTATTATTATTATTATTATTATTAAGTAACAGTAAGCAACGCCAGAACAATATTCTCGACTTATTATTACACTGTTATTAAAGAAGATAAGATGAGCGAGTGTTGGAAAAATATCCCGTGTATAAGAGTCTAAATCCTGTGAAATAGGATATCCTGAGGTGTGTGTGTGTGTGTGTGTGTGTGTGTGTGTGTGTGTGTGCGCGCGTGCGTTTTAGGGACAGGGGAAAGGTGTGCGTGCAAGAGGTGACCGCCGGCTGCCTGATGAATACTTAAGGTGGGGCGGTATTGGCAGGTGGGCGCCTTCCTGTCTCGTGTAAGGTAGGAGAAGGTCTCTCTCTCTCTCTCTCTCTCTCTCTCTCTCTCTCTCTCTCAAGTAATACATGATAAGACATTGTTAGTCCTTGATATAATTTTCCTCAGTCGACTGTATGTGTATAGAATATGTTTAGAGTATTTCCATAATCTGTGTACTGTGTATAGGTCGTGTGTGTGTATAGTATGTACGGACCATATATAATGTATGTGGTAAGAACTGTGTGTGTGTGGGGGGAGGGGGCGTGTACATGGGTTATCTAACACACCTGTGGTAATTAATCAACTTAAACACGACTAAGCGCCCAGGGGTACCAGAGACCGTGTAAACACTAGTATTTACTTGTATTTACCTGGTTTCCTCGTGTCTCAGGTGGACTAATATCACGGCAGGATCCTCACATTCTACCTGGAACCGAAATCTCAAAGGTTAAATGTTTTATCTTAATTGGTAATGAAAGAATGGATTTAGTCTCAGTGGAATCTCATTGTAATGTTTCCTTGTTTGGTGAATCGGTGTTTTTTTTGTTTGTTTTTTAGGTTGTAGAAAAAATCTTAACTCCATTCCTTGGGGTTTGGTGGAGTGGTTCTTGGAGGACGACCCAGTGTGTGTGTGTGTGTGTGTGTGTGTGTACGTACGGCTGACTCACTCATCGACAGCTATTGACCAACCTCCCCCCCCCCACGAGCTGTTGCTGGTGTTGTTGTTTCTGGAGGGAGGAGGAGGGGCCGACGGGGTGTTCTTTCCTCTCTTAAACACTATACAGGGACGGGAGGCATTTGGTAGGGTTCAGCTGGCACTTATCGATGTCATTGAGGGTTTACCTTACTCCGTCGTCTTGATGAGGTCATACGTGTAATCTGGATGATTTCACCTGGGTATTCTGGAACTGCTAGAGGTGATCGCTCCACACTCTCTTGGTTATCATGGTGTTGGATCCTATTACCTTTTGAAGATCATTGTGGATTCGGTTTTGGTATTCATGCGTCCTTACCTACCTGAACTTTAATGACCTTGTTTACCTTATGAGTGAGTTATTTGTTATTGTTTAGTCGTGTTTACATGAAATTTATTTTTTGTGTTGTTTTGTCACCTCGTGTTGATCTTCTTTGTAAATTTTAAGTTTTTATTTTTTATTTGATCACTAAAACAAAATCATATCATCTACCGCCAAGGCCACTGAGTTTTATCTCTCTGTTTTGTACGTTTCCGGGATGTGATTATATTTGTTGTGGTAATGTAATCTTTTTTCTGAGCATAGCAGTCATGGGATTGGCTTTGTGTATATTGTAAATGAATATGGTGTGTGTGTGTGTGTGTGTGTGTGTGTGTGTGTGTGTGTGTGTGTGTGTGTGTGTGTGTGTGTGTGTAGTATAGTTTTTCAGGTGTACACAGGTTTGTTATGTGTGTAAAATTATGGTGTCGTGTGTGAGATTATGGTGTCATATGTACCAGTACGGGGCGTCGTGTGTGTGTGTGTAGTATCCCACGTATACAATTACGGTGTGGCGCATGTCCACATTTCTGATCTGTCAGCTGTGAACGAGTACAGTGTGGTGTCAGTGTCAGGAGCGTCAGTGTCAGTGTCAGGAGCGTCAGTGTCAGGAGCGTAAGGTTTCAACGCCATGCCACCCAAGTCTCTCCCTCACCTCGTTGTAAGGGAGGGGAGCGTGAGGGGAAATTATTCGTTTACGAGGTGAGGGTCGCCCGCCTCACACTTAGACACGCAGCAAGTCTCTGAGTGGCTCTAGTATAGATAGATCTTATATGTTTAGTGCACACCCTCATCTCTTCCTGGTGGGGTGTGGCGCTGTGTGTGTGTGAGAGAGAGAGATTTTGTGTATATGCGAGGGTGGCAGTCTCCGGTGGTGTTTGTGTGAGGGGTGTTGGTGTTGAGTTAAAACACTATAGTAGTGTGAGATAGTAGTGTGTGTGCGTGCGTGCGTGCGTGCGTGTGCGTGTGTGTGAGTAACATCAGCCTACACACTGTACATTACTAACAATGTTCTCTGCCGCCCCACAGTTCACGGCCTGGGTGGACGCCGTGATCTTCGTCTTCAGCCTGGAGAACGAGTCCTCCTTCAACGCCATCTACAACTACTACGCCAAGATGGCCCACTACCGCAACACTGCCGAGGTCCCCCTCATCCTAGTGGGCACTCAGGGTGAGTACCAACCACCACTCTTTTGTAGGGGAACTCATTTTGTACCTTCTTACTCTGCCTTGCATTTCCCAGGAACACACAAAAACCTATACTGGAATTTCATCGCAGTGTTGGGGTCCATGTTGGTGGTGTAGCGGAAATGTGTAAGTTCATTATCACGGCTGGTGTTAACGTGTGTGTGTGTCCCCGGAAGGATGTGACGCACCGTGTAGGACGACTACTTGGTTTCACAGTTACTGATGTTGTTTACTTCATGTGTTGTTAAGTTCACTGTGAAGAAGAACCAGTGACGGGATGGACACATATTTCCGAAATTTGTTCCTTGGGGAGCAGTGACGCAGGTGTTGTTATGGAGGAGGAGGGAGGGAGGGAGGGAGGGGGCAGGGAGAGGGGATTTGGTGAACTAATATTTTCGACACGAGTCACCAGCTGAGAAGGAGTAAGGAACAAGTAAGTGGTGGTATGAAATTCACTCTAGTTACGGGATGGGAAACTAACCAAATCAAAGCTTAAGTCAATATTATTAGTTGTGTTCTCGATACAAAAGTTGTTAGAGTTGAGGGTTGAAGGTGAGAGGAAACCCCGTAAAGTAATGTTCATGCCCGCTGCTGACTCACGATATAAACTGTGTCGGTTATGCAGTGTGTTACGGGCAACAACTAGGTAATAACTACTCAATTGTGGTGGTGTGAACATGACCTTAAGTGAAGAATATAGAAGAGAGAGAGCGAAGGACCCCGGTGTAGTGGAGGAAGACCCCGGTGTAGTGGAGGCGGCGGCGGGCAGGAAGATGACGGGGCCTTCCTGTTACTGGTGCCACCAGCTTTGTTGGTGCCATCACTGTGTGCCACCATCCTTATCTCCCCCACCAGCGACCTAACGTAAATAATAAGACAAATAATGACATGCCAGAACTATTGATAATAATAATAGTTCTAGTAATAGTTTTACCCCTTTTATGAAACACGAACACTCACTTATTGGCAACCATTCTAGAAATTCTATAGCACCCACCAGCAAGAATTAATAATAATAATAATAATAACAACAACAACAACAACAACAACAACAACAACAACAACAACAACAAAAAACAACAACAACAACAACAACAACAACAACAACAGACGCACATCTAAAGTTTCCAGGAGCAAAACAATCATAGTGGTTGAGTTCAAACCAAAACAGACGTCGGTAAAACCACAGCCTGAGAAAAACACCAGTAGCTGAGGCCCACAAGGTCGGTATGTGCCTTACACCACACACAACAATGGTCTTTATCGATAGTAATAAAACCACCCCCACCCCACTCCGGTACTTTCCCCCTCTACACCTCCCTCTCAACCCCCCTCTCCACCATGGGACTCAAACTCACTTCCCCCTCTCCATCTCCACTCTTCCTTCCTCCCCACCCCCCTCCTTCTCCCCCGCCGTGAGGACAGGAACGCCCCCTCCCCTCCTCCCCCGCCGTGCTACAGGATCCCTTGACTCTCAGGCCGCGCTCATTCCGCCTCATTTACGTATTGTGATGTCTGTCGGAGGGGGACACATGAGGAATTTTTCGAGCGATTACATTGTGTTATGCTGAGCTCTCTTCCTCCCCTCCCTTACTCTCTCCCCTCCTTTCTCTTCCGTTCCCTCCCTCTACCTCCCATCCCCTGTGTCCCTCCCTCCGTCCTTCCCTTTCTTCTCCCTCTCTCTCTCCCTTTTCTTTCTCTTCCCTCCTCCTCTCTCCCCCTCACCCCTTCCCTCTCCCCCCTCATTTCTCTACTTCCCTCCCTCACCTTCCTCCCTCCCTCGTCTGTTGTTGTCTCTCCCTCCCTCCCTCGGCTCTTAAGGTCCTCCTCGGGGGACACTTTTGTCTTTTCTTCACTATCCCTTCTCTCCAAAGTCCCTATTCCTTCTCCCCCCTCTCCCTCTCCTCCACCGACGCGTCTCAGACTCCTGTGTCCTCCTTCACCTCCCTCCATCTAGTTTACCTCCACCTTTTCCTCCAATTACTCCACCTTCTACCACCATCACCTCCTCCACCTCCCCCTTCTACTATCATCTACCTCCTCCACCTCCCCCTTCTACTATCATCTTCCTCCTCCACCCTCCCCTTCCCCATCATCAACCTCCTCCCTCCCCTTCACCATCATCTACCTCTCCACCTCCCCTTCACCATCATCAACCTCCTCCACCTCCCCTTCCACCATCATCAACCTCCTCCACCTCCCCCTTCACCATCACCTCCTCCACCTCCCCTTCCACCACCATCACCTCCTTCACCTCCCCTTCCACCATCATCAACCTCCTCCACCTCCCCCTTCACCACCCTCCCCTCACCCTCCACCACCATCATCAACCTCCTCCACCTCCCCTTCCACCATCATCAACCTCCTCCACCTCCCCTTCACCATCATCAACCTCCTCCACCTCCCCTTCACCATCATCAACCTCCTCCACCTCCCCTTCCACCATCATCAACCCTTCCACCTCCTTCTCTCCGTTCATTATCACATCCTCTCACTTCTTCCCTTTTAAAGTGTACCCAAAGACTCCTCCACTTATCTCTCCCTCCTCTGAGTCTACCATCCACCTTTTCATTTTCTACCTCACTAACCTTTTGCCGTTTCCTGTAGTCACCTCCACCCCCTGATAGTCCTCCAAACCCCCTTAAAAGATCTTACACCTCCCTGGCAAACCCTTTTACCCCCTGAAAAGCCGCCATCTCCTTCCCCTGACAAGCTCTTAACCCCCTGACAAGTCTTTCCTCCCCCTGACAAGTCTCTCCCGCCCCCTATACAAGCTCTTCCCACCCCAAGCCCCCGTCTCCTCCCCTGAAAGCCCCATCTCCTCCCCCCTGACAAGCCCGTCCTCCTCCTCGCAAGACCTCCTGTCATGCCCTTGGGGTGGAGAGAGTCATGCCCGCTCTGCTTTTCAGGTGTCACGGGCGTCCTGTGTGTGTGGAGGGGCGGGCGGGCGGATCAGCTGACTGCCACCCACTAGCCAGTACGACAAAGTCCTCACTGTTGCCCTGACTCCCGTTGGCTCCTGTTAACTTTAGTTGTCTTCCTCCTCCTCCTCCTGCCCATTGTCTTCCCCTTCCTTTTGCACTCTCCCTCTCTTCCTCCCCCTATCCATTGTCTTCCTCGTTCTCACTCTATCCCCTTCTTCGTCCACTCGTGTCCTCTCTCTCTCTCTCTCTCTCTCTCTCTCTCTCTCATTGTTTGTCTTACTTCTCCTACTCTCCTTCTCTCCTATCTATGGATGTCTCTCTCATATTATTACATTTCCTCGTCTGTTACTTTTATCTCCCTACTCCTACTTTTATCTCCCTACTCCTACTTTTATCTCCATGCTGCTACTTTTATCTCCCTACTCCTACTTTTATCTCCCTACTCCTACTTTTATCTCCCTACTCCTACTTTTATCTCCCTACTCCTACTTTTATCTCCATGCTGCTACTTTTATAGTTGGTGTTCTCTGCTACAGTCTGACGTGAGGGAAGAGGAGCGTGTCTGTGCCCCCGCCTCCCTAATGGCCGCCTCCCTTAAATTGGGGGATTTTCTTAATACGCCGGAGGGAACAGCGGTACTTTAACTTATCTGGCCTGAGACGCTTGTGTTAGGTCAGGCCAAGAACCTTAGCTGTGGTGATGAGTGTGGGTGGGTTAGGTTGGGTGGGGTGGGTGTGGGTGGGTAAGCGTGGAGAATAGGTGGAGGGAAGACAGGTAAGATGAGTGAGCGGAGATGAGATGTGTGGTGGAGGTCAGGTGAGATGCAGGTGTGGAAATGAAGTGGAGCTGAGGCACGATGGTGGAGGTGTGGGAGGGCAGGTGAGGTGGTAGGATGGTGGAGGTGTGGGGGAGGAAGAGGAAAGTGTGAGGGGGAAAGAGGAAAGAAGAGGGGGTGTTGGGGAGGCTGGGGCGATGACACACCACTGGTCTAACCTGTGTTGACTCATCTGCCCTCTCCTGCCCTCCAATACTTTCACCATTGCACCCTCTACCTATGCCACCACTACATCTTTCACCACTGTAACTCCCTCCCACCCCCATTCCTTCTTACTGCTCTTGGCCGTGGTGGTGGCCGTGGCCCCGAGGGAGGGAGGGAGAGGGGGCAGGGATCTAGCTGTGTGGCTGGGTTAAGGTTCTGAGGGTTGTGTGTGGCAGGTGCGGTGTGGCAGGTGCGGTGTGCAGTGGTGAGCCGCGTGTCACCAACAATGATTGGGAGCTGACCAGACATCGGCTTGGGTCTAGGCCAGGGATACCTCCTCCTCCCTCACCACCAGTCTCTTATTACTAAATCATCCACTAAGGAGGAGGACGGCACCGTCTTTATGGCCATATTTTACTTCCATTCTCTTGTAGACATTTAACACCGTCGTCACTCCTTCAGTTGCATGGATCCACTAACACGAACCTTGGTCGACCTTTACCTGGGTCCAGTACACCATTTGAATTATTTTTGGTTATTTTTAGACCAAATCAGATGAAGAGACACAAATACACATTGTTATAGAACTCACATAATGGTTTATAAAGGAATAAGATTTATATTCTTGTTTCTGTTTTCTTTTTGTCATTCTATAGAGATCACATGTCAGGAAAATGAGCCGTGTGTTGCATCAGTATTCCTTGTTTACAAACTTTGTGTCAGAGCTAATTGGTAGTGGAAGTTATAATCAGGTGACTTCATTTAAATTAGTTGCTGTTAGAGGAACGTCCAATGTAATTTATGAAAGTTACCGTGAGTTCCTGGGAGCTGGAACCCGCTGTGGTCACCTTACACCTGTAGCACAAGTAAAGTGTGCGTGTGTGTGTGTGTGTGTGTGTGTGTGTGTGTAGCGGGTGGGCACGCGACGGGGGTCGGTGTCTGCCGCAGGTACTGGCAAAGGTCAGACGAACACACCCTCGAGGCACAGACCTCCTCACACCCACTGTCTCCAAGTCGTGTGTGTTGACTCAAAATGAGATATATCTCGTCACGCCGCCCCCCTCGCCGATATATCTGACTAAATGATGTTCCTCATCTTTATCATTTCTCGCGTGTTTCCCCTCCCCCCACATCTCCCCGGTCACTCCCCTCGCCACACCTGCCTACAAATTACGTGAACCTTGACCATATTACTCTTTAATACAGTGGCGGGCTTGTTAGTGTTTACT